ATGTTTTATTTATCAATTAAAAATTACTCTGTTAAGGCCGTTCTGCATCCCGCTATCGCCTGCGTATGTCTTGTCTAGAGTTACGCCAGTGACTTGTCATCTATTTCAAATTGAAAGAATCCAAATTCAATAAAAGAATGCAAGTTGTACAAAATTATTACTTCAGGCAAGCCGGGCACTTTGGATGCTTTATAAGATGAAGCTCTCCATCGTGAATGCTATAATAAAACTCTCAGCTCACTTTGCAAGGACATTTCACAGAAAAATCATGAAGTGCAAAATAACACGAAACCCATTCTCACGTGTGATAACAACGATAGGAATTTCGGAGAACTGCTTTCAGTAATAATGTCAGAAAAATTATGCTTATCTCACTTTCAGTTATTTGGTATTTATTTTCCTTATCCACTTAAATGCTGGTGGATTAAATTTCCTTATTCCCTATACCTTCTAAGTTTTCTATCAATCCTTGCCGGTTTTTTTTTTTTTTTCCCGCACTGTTCTTTCAAATCTTTTTCTTTCTTTCTCCACTATTACAGCGCAGCAGCAGAGCCACCGAACTAGACATTTACTCACCGTATTACCCCTTCTTAAACTCCCCTCGGACAAGCTATTGCTGTTCTATTGTTAAGATATGTATCGCTATCATATTGCTGATATTTCATATTAATCCATCACTTCATGCAGAGCTGCGTTTATATCTATAAACTATGCAGATGCTGGACTCAACATGCTGCGAGCACTTTTAGATTGCGCACCTGCGCTGGAACCCGCTTCGTGAACTACGTTCGTCTAAAAAACAGTGAATAAATTCTTTACATATGTTAACAACAAAACTGAAAATCGATATTAAACACTGATTGTCTACTCAAAAGTAATGATTTATTTAAAACAACGTTTCTAAAAATTTTTCAGGTGGGGATTATGTCTATTTTGATAATATTAAACGACCAGAAAGACTGTCCTTCAAAATATCAGTGGAATGAACTCAATTTAACATAAATATAACTAGAAACATATAAAGAGGTACTTTTAATTTTTATTTAGGAAAGCTACTGAAGAAAGGATTGTTTATGAACTCTTCATAAAAGTTTTTAGAAATTATTTGACCGATGCTGCCATCTAATACTCGAGTGCATCCCTCATTAGAAGAGAACATGCCTGTGTAAAATTTAGTTAGGCAAAAATCAACCTTTGGCATAGATATTTTCAGGGAATATTTTCTAAGGATTAAAAAAAAGAAATCTGCAGAAATACTTTTGCTTCTAAAGATGAGGGAGTGTCTGATCACCTTCAAAATCTACATTAAACTAAGTTTGCTTTTTTTATATAATTTTAACGGTTGACTGAAATCAAAACCAAGGTGCTTAATGACTTAATCTATTACTTTTACACTTAGTGGTTTTTATAACCTATTTTCACTTTATTTGACGACTTTACATCAGTTGAAAAAGTTTATTCTGTAATTTGATCACATTAACCGAACATGACAATAAGCGATTCATTTTCCATGTTTTCGTATACAAACGGACGGGATTTCAGCAATTCAATAACCATATTTGAATGATAACATAGACTGCGATCACATTAAGTGGCGTTTACTGTATCAGCATACTTATATTATTACAAGTAAACTTATATTTTTAAAATACAATTACCTTATTTGCCGTCCTATAAGACGCACTTTTTTCTTTGAAAATAGGTCTGAAAAACGGGGTGCGTCGATGCGTCGTTTACGAACAGACCAAAGCTTCATGGGATGCTGTAAAAACAGAGACAGTGTTTAAATCATTTAAGAAGTGTGGCATTAGTAATGCACTGGATGGTACAGAGGACAATTTGTTGTGTAAGGACACAGATGCTGATTTAGAAGAGGTTTCAAGTGACTCTTCATTTAGCTCTGGAGATGAGTGTCTGGGTGTTGATGAAGGAGATTAAAAGGTGTTCTTTCTCAGATAGAGTGGGTATTTGGAGAAAGTATTACTTTATATTTAAAATACTGTAAATTCATTATAATGATCAGTGATAATGTTTTATCCTTCAAAAATGGTAGATAAAAGAGGGTGCGTCTTATACGCCGGAAAATGCGGTAATTCCGATTCATTTAATTTCATACTAAGTAAATAAGTTAATAGAAAAAATACTTTTTTAATAATTCAAGGATGTTGAAGATTGGATAATTTTTGTCCTATTAACGAAAAATTAAATAAATATTGGTGCTTACATTAATGAGATGTATGAGCCTGCCGATTGTTGCATAGCTGTTCTATTCTGAATATGTGCTGTTAAAAAGAAAACCACAGTCATAGTGCTTTGAATTACTTCATAAGACTAGAGTGTGAAGTTCGTAAGTAAGTAGCCGATAATTAATTTCATAAAATGTCAGTCTTGGGAGGAAAAGTGATAAACTTGCCTGTGTAATTTCCGGACTCTGAGATTTTTATGTACGGTTTGGCAGACGCAATTAATTCGAATTCTATTTTTGGTCTTTTTCGGAAATCTGGGAGGACTACTTGTGGTCTACAAATTATAGATTGAAAGCATTTTATGTAAAAGCATATGCAAATTCATAATACGTGATAACTACAAATGAGAGTTATGCAGAAAATGTAATAAAATTTTAGAAGTGAATAAAATTAATTTCTTTAATCAAAGCATGTTATAAATGCAGTGTAATTTTGTTAAAAGTTTATTTGTGTATTTCTTTTCGAAAAAATTGCCGTTAAATTTTCCAAATTTGTGTGTTTGCAATTTTGTTTGTTTACATCCAAAAATGAGCATGGATTATCTTAATTCTGATGTATGAGACTTGCATTATACTCGTTTTTTTTTCAAATATTATATAATTAAATATACACTGATGGAAAATGAAATCTGAACACCAAGAAGAAATAAGTTTAGAGGAATGAAATTTAGGCAAAGCATTTGTCTAGGTAACATATTTATTTGATTAATGTTTCAAAGTCGCAGATTAAAGTATGCGTGAGAGAAGTTATTTCGAATGTGAAGGTGGTACATTAATAACCGATGTTGTCATCACGAGGTTGAATGCAATTACGTAAATACGTATGCATTTTGTCCGATAGGTGAATGTCATTTTGTGAGATGGAGTTTCACGCCTGTTGCATGCAGTCCGTTTTGATTGTGGATGACATTGGGGATGTTGGATTTATCGTCCAATTATGCCCCATACATGCTAGCTGGGAGGAAGATCGGATGATCTCGCAGTCTAAGACTACATGTCGACGCACTATACAGCATGTTGGATGATAGTAGCGATATGGGGAGAGCGGCTTCATGTTTGAAAATACTTCCAGGAATATTGTTCAACCGCAGCAACATATCTGGTGTAATCACCAGTCTAACGTTAAAATTTGCTGTCAAGCTGGGATGCCGATGATAGTGTTCTTGCTGCCATAAGAAATTGCTTTCCAGACTCCTGGTGTAGGTCCAGTGTGTCTGTTTCGCTAATAGCTTGCTCTTAACCAGGATACGACAGTTAATGGCACCAACACAGAAACCTCTGTCATCTGAAAACACAATAGATCTCCACTCTTCCGTCCAATGAGTTCTAGCTTGATACCACCGAAGCTGGAGATGGCGGTGATTTGAAGTTAGAGCTGTGGCCACTACAGAGCGTCTAGTGCGGAGCTGTCCCTTGAGCAATCTATCTGTCACAGTTTGCTGTGACAAAAGCTGGAAAGCTCAACAAAAGCTGGAATATCTGTTGCAGTGCAATGCGTCACAGACATGCGGTAAATACGTGCCAACACTCAAAGGGAAGATCGCTTCCCTTTGAGTGTTGGCACGTATGCAGCAGGAGCCCTGTCTTCTTAAGACAGTACCTTTCTGTGTCCACTGCTGCCAGCGCGTATACACAGTGCATCCTTGCCATATCTTTCTGCTGTATCCTGAAAATAAAATACACCTACTCGCACCTCATTTGTTCGATCCATTCCAATCTCAATAAGCTGCTGATACTGCCTCCTTCGTCTTCTTAAAGACATTCTTGACACAAATCTCGCTTACGGCCCCAATCCGGAAGATAAATAAACATATGAAATTTACATTGTGTGGTGAAAGCAAACGTGATTTGAATGTTCATGGTGGCGCTACTAGCGCTACACTTATTCATCTAGCGCAAAATTTGAATCATCTTTCAGGTGTATTAACAAGGCTAATTTGATCACCTTTCAGGTGTGTAAACACTCCTCCCAAAGTTCGTTTATCTAGCACAAATTCTTCTTACTGTTGGGATTTCATTTTCCATGCGTGTATCTTGAACTTTGGATCATAAACTTATGGCTGCATTGTAAGAAATGGATCAAATAAATGGGATTTCAGACCATGCCACTTTTCATCATGATATATTTAAGTAAACCTATATGAACAACTAACATTTTATTCTGAGGTTCAATGAAGAAATTTCTAATTAAGTTGTTATTTACCGTTCTTAGATCTGTAATATGCAAAATTGGCTCTGAAAATATTATCGCTATTGATTAATAGCATTTTGACTCTGCCGAGGGAAATAACAGAATTATTTATTTCAGGAATCGTATAGAAACTGAATTTCAGTAGATAAAGATATGATGCTAAGTATTTCTTCTTAAAGATATGTAGCAGAATTTGAGGTTTCCGTTTCCCTGTAGAAGTCCACTATTTCTGGATCGAAATATTTATTTTTTAGTGTCTCGGGTATTTTTTATTGTGTGCTAATTGTTCTTTTGTTTCATTAGTTTGATTATGAAAAACATTTTTTCATTCTTTTTGTTTGTGGGGGCAGGAGGTTATCGATCCCAATTAAATTTTATGTGTTTTGTCTCAAACCATCAAGTGTCCAAAAGAGTCAGAATCTGAAAGCCTACTTCATTTGATTCATTTCTTCACTTGAACCACGAGTCTGTGATTAATTTTTCGAGACTGTTTCGTTGTGCGGTATTTTTAGAGCATCTTCTGTATAGATATCGGTATTTAAAGTTTTATTCTTTTCATTCCAGAGGTCCTTTTAGTTTAGTTCGGCGTTGTATTCATAAGACAACTGGTCAACAGTTTGCTGTTAAAATTGTAGATGTGGCAAAATTTACTTCATATCCAGGGCTAAGTACAGAAGGTAAGAAATTTACTGTAGATGTAATTAACATACATAAATTCATTTTCAGAAGTAGTTATTTTAATGCTGTTGCTGTTAATGCTGTTGCTGATGTTTTAAGCAGTTTATTCATGAATAAGAAATTCAGTGATGAATAAAAAGTGTACTGAATTTTATACTTTATTATATAACAGATTTGACTAACATCAGACTGATATAAAGTCTATTATATGACAGATTTCACTAACAGCAGACTGATCAAATCTGTTATATGTATAAAATCTTATTTATTAATAACGTATTTGTAGCTATAAGAATGTACAAAATAGTGTAAAATAATGTATTTTATTTTTGTGAAATGCTGTGAAATTGTTTTAATCATGAAACAAAAGCTGCTGCTATATTTCAGCTGACTATAATAAAAGATTTATGATACTTTTGCTGTATTTTTAAGAAATTTGTTGAATAAGACTAATTAAGAATGAGACAGATGTATTATCTCTTAGGAAATCCCTTTTTCATAGAAACCTTATATGCCTTTGTAAAACAATTGGGCTAGATGGGTATAATGTTGAGTACTGCTTTTACTGCCATCAGATAGTTTCACATAAAATACTGTGCTGCAAGTGATACCTATCTAAGTATTTCTAAAAATTCCACATACAGTATAACCCATTTATCTAGACTAATTTGAGCAAAACAGTTTCAGATAACAGTTCAACAAAGAGCAATCCTTTGTATAGTTAAATGAGCAATCTCTTATTAGAATAAAACTCCATTCATTCAAACTAACACTGCAGAGACATTTTGTATATTTCATGATCAGGTTTATTTTTATTAAAAATGAAAGTTAAAAAGGAAAGAAAAGAAAATGATGTGTATTTTTGTATACATAATGATGGACTGCAACATTATTTTAGACTCTATTTTCCTTAAAAGACTCTAACAGATTTCCCCTATAATTTTTTTTATGCAAGTAGTATAAAAGTGATATGAATGATGGTAGTGCAATTAGGGGAAAAAATTACAGTCAGACCTCATTAACCTCATGAGAAAATATGACTTATTACCTGGCATGATCTGTTCTCTGGGATGGTAAGAATGGACTGTGATCAAAATGCTTAAATGAATAATTCTCATTGCCAATTAAAAAGTGTATCCTAAAGTATTTATATGAAAGAACAGTATTAGGTAATAAATTTCAAATTACTCGGAAGAATAATATTTCTTTGATTTCTAGACTGACTATCGGTAATTCTGTGTTCCATTTGATACTGGCATTCATGATGTTCTGATATTGTTTCCTGAATAGGCAGCATATTCTTTTTAATGATATGCAGACTGTCTGTGTAAAATAACCTTTTTGGTTGGTGCATTTTAGAAAAACTTACTTGCATTCATTTTTGGAAGTTTTATCCTAACTACTCCAAGTAGCATAACCTTATCATAAAGACATAGCAAATGCATCCTGCATGATGTTGCAAAGACGTCATATTGTGTCGTCTTTTGAACGCCCATATGTCAGCGAAAGTATATGTTTAATGACCACTGCAAAGACGTCGATTTCATGTCTTTTACGTAGAACACTTTTGATGCTAAGACACCGACTTCACGTCTATATGTGGAACACTTTTAAAGCAAAGACGCCATTTTCGCGTCTTTATAAACGATGTTTTTGTTGCACAAATGTAGGATGCTATGCGGTAACATCATATTGTGACATTTTAATGACATTCTATTGCAGTTTGCCTTTTTCGTTAATTATCTTTGCAGTCCCATAAAGTAAATTGCAGAACTAATAGGGTTATATGTGTTCTAATAGGGTTCTAGTAGTTGTAGTTTTCCTTTTTGGGACTGTTGCAAAGGCTAATTATAATGCTTTTTTGCAAATATAATCCATTTTACTGGACCATTGTGTTTACTGAAATCGTATTTAATTTTTGAGTTCAATTTTTCCCTTAGTGTGTCCCTAAACTCTAATATGTTGTCTACTCCTTTTTTGAAATGTCAAAATAAATTGCAATTTTTTAACATAAAATTACATATTTTAATGTCTAGATCTACCCAAGTGTTAAACCTTGCGAATTCTTGCACAGGTTTTTAAGATGATCACAACCAGGGAAAGGGTGTAAAAGATCCTTTTATTAAACACAATAATAATTTGCATGGCTTACAAACACCGATCAAACTGAGAACTCAAAAGTTACTTAATACTAAATTTAAAATTAAGAGTAGTACACTACACAATTCATTTTAAAGCTAACAGGTTGATTCAGAACATACCCTGGAAGAACATTAATTCAGAGCAAGAATGCATAGCCGATATTTAAGGTTGACAGCTGAAAGAATTGGCAGCGTGCGCTTACAATAGCGAAAACAAGATCTGTTAAACTTTTCTCTCCAACAGTTTAATACTTTGGCTCACCCTAATTCATTTATATCCTAAAGAGGAAACGTAAGGGGTATAAGAGAAAATAGAAAAGATTATTAATTATCTTTTCTATTTTCTCACAAATTAAAATAACTGTAAGCAAAAATAAATGAAGCCCTACATCTTCCCCCCCCCTGGATAAAGATAATTAAATTCTAGTCCTAACTCGAACTCAACCTTCACAAAGTTTTTAAGTCTTAAGATTAAGTTATGTTACAGACGAAATTTCCGCATTCTATTACATTCACAGCCTTCTTCCTCGGGTCTCTCTCTCCAGACCTCTGGATGGAAAATAGTTTAGAAAAGGTCTAATGTATTTAATGTATTCACGTAACGTTTAAGGTTTTCCACAAATAGATTTATTCTCATTTAATATCCTATGGGGGATCTTTTGCTCATCCCATTCTTTCCAAATTTTAAATCTTCTCGTGCTCTTCAGCAAGGTGTACTGATATGAGAGCTTGTGTGTACATGTAAAACGTGTTCCACACTCCTGTGTAGTCGACATTCTACTTGTTAGAATTTAGACATACGAGATCTCAGAATTACACCCTACATTCAGTTCTCAGCCCTGAGGTGCTAATTTTACTAAAAAATGAACTTAGTCATGGTTGGAGAGCCTAACAACTTTCATGCATTTATCGAGTTTCTCACGTTTATTCTGGTAAATAAAGTGTCGAAGAATTTAGTGAACTGCTAAGCGAATAGTCGCATAAGTCCAGGAACAGAAACCTAAACTCTTGAAGGGTTAATTACCCTTTATTTCACTCAGAATAAGATTAACAGTCGGCCCCGTTCTCACGGCGTACAGCAAAGCCTTCACTTGCGCTTAAACTCAAAATGTAAGAAATAAGAACTAATTAATGACTAACTAAATAGATTTAGCCGAAGCTAACACAGTTCTAAACTATAGTTCATAATATATATATAGTTCAGAATATAAACAGTTCAGAATATATCACACACACACACATAGATGGCTGAGAAGACCCTAGTGGCTTAAAGGTGGCTGAGTGGAAAGCATGATGACGCCGCAATTTAGCACAACGGATCTTGAAAAATCACAATCTTTATTTTATTTTTATTTTTTTTTTTACGTATATCAAACCATTCTTTTGCAGATAAGATGTTTCCTAATTATATTTGACAGTAAGTTCCAATCTGAAGTACGACGTCATCTTAAGCAAGTAAGCGGCAGCAGCGTGGATAAAAAGTGTCTTGCCAGCAGGAGAGCTTATGCGAAAAAGGGAAGGGTGTCATAGAACTTCAAATAAGGAAAAAGGGGGGCAGTTGGAATAGTTTCAGGTCCGTGTTTTGGTTTACAATTAATTTGATTGGACAAGAGGCATCTGCATTAAAACGTTACGTAAAATAGAAAAATCTGGAACCTGTGAGAAGAGATGAATTTAGGAGCAGATCACCAAATTTAGAATGTTAATTTTGAGGTCGCCAATTATTTTTTAAAACAGCTATCATATTTTGTTATATCTTACATATTACCCCCCTTCAAAAGGAAGGCTGGATGAATAGGGTGGAAGAAAAAGCGTTAGAGCAGCAAAATATGAAATATATAATTTTGAAAATACAAAACAATATTAATTTTTAAACAAAAACTATCATCATAAAATTTTAACTGATATTTTAACTCAATTTGGCATTTCACTGAAAGTCGTAAAAATTTTGAATTCAATAATAATTTTAAGCACTGTAAACTTCTAAAACAATTTCACATTTTAGAATCCTGAAATAAGAATGTCCAATAAAATTTTGTAAAGTTCTTGATGAAAAATATTTTCACAAAGTAAATGCTCCAATTTTCTCACAAAGTAAATGTTCAAATAAAAGTCTTACAAAATTACCAATTTTTGTTGATGAAAATATTCCTATTATAATACAGATTGAGATGCCAACTTTCATGTTATTTGTTAGAATTTCCATAATTATATTTTTTAGGGAAGGCGTTTTTAAAATATTAAAATTTTTTGCACATCATTCATAAACACAACAAATTTCAAACTTTTCACTATTATTAAGACATTTAAAATTTACTTATTCTTTACAAACCTGAAGACTCCACAACTTTCTCTAAATACCAGCATATCCGTCATATTGGTTTATCAGTTGAGCAAACTGATGTTTATTATTCTTCAGAAGTGGCCAAAAGATTTGCTAAATTAGCAGTTACTGTAGAAAAGGCCTCTGTTCCTTCGATAGAGGCAACTGGCTTTTTTTCGAACTGTTGTCATTCCATTATAAAAATTAAAAACACACTCTATTTTATGAAAAAAAAAAATACTTAAAATTTAAAAAAAAAAAAAAAAAAATTATTTTTTCATAAGGTGAGAGCCTTCAACGTTTATCTTGAAAACATTAAATAAATACCTACAATTAAAAAATTTCAAACAATTTCATTCTTAAAATACAGTATAAGTTAAAAAATATAAATTCGAAGAAATTTAAAAAGTAGTACAAAAATAGTATTCGTAATAGGAACCTTACCTATGTAAGACCTTCAAATTCTTTACCTAATTTTTATCAAATTCAGTAATTTTTCTTTTCCAATTCAGAAATACAAAACTGCATTTTAAAT